CAAATAAATACCTTTTTCAGTCTTCTAGAAAATTTAAGTTTTATTTATTTACTTTTCATATTCATTTGAAGGTGTAATTTTTGGGGAATACAATAGATGGGTGAAAATTTGCCAACTAAGTTTTAACAATTGTTTGGTGACCAAAGAAAATCTGGTGTTATTCTAATGGAATATTAAATGCTTTCTTCCTTAACTAATTCTATCAGATGCTTTTCATCAATTAATGCCTTCATTTATTCTAATTATGAGGAGCACTTGTTTGAATAAATTGTTTGGAAGTAGCTCTCGTAGAGGACATCCTTCCAATCCCACCATAACAGAACCTTCTTTGAATAATTCTTTGCTTAAGTTAGCAGTGGTTCATTTTGTTAGCCTCATGAACTCTTGTACCTCATGTTATTGTAAAGTATCCATTTTTCATTGCCTTTCACTTCATTTAAAATATAGTCAAGGAGGTTTACATATCCACACAGCAAAATGACTATTATAACCAAACTGGTGAAAATGATTTTTAACATTTCATTTGGGTGTGTTGGCTATCTTCTGTATCCATTTTATATTGTTTCTGGTAAACCAGATTGTGAAGCATTGGGAAACTTCACAAACCATCTTTGACATATTTGATTATTTCCAGTACTATCTCAAGAAACAGCACAAATCATTTTTTTCTGTTTGAATTCATAAACAAAAACATAAAATGCCAAAACTGTTGCTTATTTCTTTCCATCTTCAATATTAGAATCAATAAATAAAACACCAATTTTGAATTTTAAAAAATGTGTAATGATATAACAGCAGTCAGAAGAGAATCTTTTTTAATGTACTTAGTTAAAATAATTGTTTCTAATGTTCTTATAACAACGAAAAATAGAAAAAAAAAAAAACTACTAAACTAATATATATATATATATATATATATATATATATATATATATATATATATATATATATATATATATATATTTATATAAAAAGGATACCTAGAAGATCTCTGAATAATAGTTTATTATTGATAATTTATTGATATTTTTCAGCCATCTTATGGAAAATAATTTTTTATTCAATCTTTAAAAAATAAACTTCATTGTTTTTTTTGGTTTGTTACAAAATAACTAAAGTTAGTAAAATACCACACTACCAATACCACACTCGATGGGGTGGGGGTCTTAGGGGGCTGAGCATCCCTATATTTTTATTCAGAAAGACACTTTATTTTTCAATTTAAATACTAACATAAATACTCTGTCAATGTTGTTTTCAAACAAATCAAACTTAGATAAAATTTCATTAACCTTTTTTCAAATTAGTATAATAAAAAAAGTAAATAAACATAAAGATATATTTAAACATTTAACTTAATCAATTTTTCAAGCAAAAACTATAGGAAGCATTACTTCTTCAAAAAATAATTATTTACTATTTATTTTGGAGGGGAATTTAGATTTTTTAAGTAAAGTTTTACTTTTAAGCAATAGCAAACATTTTTCTGAAAATGAATTTAATTACCATTTTGAAAGAGTAGAAGCAAGCAAGATACATTGAGAATTTAGTTTTAAAAGTGATTGTTTAATTTTCATGTTGTATTTGAAAACAAAAACTTTAGTTAAATAAAAATTAGGAGAGACAGACATGACTTACATGCCAACATTAGTCATGTTGAATATTTGTTTTATGAATTTAACTATATTTTATTTAAATTAATTTTTAGAAAAATAAGGCTCACTATAGTTTTTTGCTTTAATAAAATTTAATTTAAAATTATTTACCTTTTTTATGTTAGTTACAAACCAAAAAAGCAAAAATGTTTATTTTTTAAAGATTGAATAAAAAAATCATTTTCCATAAGATGGCCAAAAAATATTAATAAGTCAATAATACACACACACACACACACACACACACACACACACACACACACACACATAACTGCCCTTTAGGATGATACTAAGTCAAACCACTCATCAATGGACTAATAGGAGTCTGTTAAAGCCCATCATCCATAGATGGGAAGGGATTATTTTTGAGTTATAAAACCACTATAGTAACTACCAGTAGTTAAGATCATAATGTAAATACTATAAACATGCATATATGGCGTAAATAAATATATACTTAATATAGATAAGATATATTAAGTAAAATAACAAAAATAATAGATTTCTCACAGCTACTTAATCAGTCATGCTAATGTATCATACTTTCCGTTTTTGTCTACAATAGAAAGGCCCGCCACTGCTACCAAGCAGTCACTTTGAGAACTAATATGACTCATTCTGCTAAGCCCGCGATTTTTTAAATACATTGCTGATAATTTGGAAGTTTTTTGTCTGCAGATTATTTTTTGTTTTGCCTGCAGATTTTGTCCATTGCATCCAAAGTCCGTTGATGAGTGGTTTGTCTGTGTATTTATTTTGTAGTTGGACACACACACACACACACAATTGAATAAGTAAATATTAAACTTTTTGTCAAATAACAAAGTAAATTTAAAAGAAGAATAATATTAAATACAAATTTAATATTCTTCTTCTTTTAAATTTACTTTGTTGTTTTAATATTCATTTTTTTTAAATTATGCTTTTATTTACTATAGATGTGAAAATAAATTCAAGATAATAGAAATTTTAAAAATACATAATTGGATACCATTTAGCAGAATAAAAAAGTAAAAAAAAAACAGTAATCCGATTTGAAAATAAGAATTCTTACCATTCATTTTTACTTTTTAATTCTGGGAATTTCGAATGCATTCTAATTTTAAAATATCTTCATAAATGCAAATCATACGATGACGATTTTTTACAAAAAGGTGGCATAGATGATAATGAGTCTGTATACATTGACTTTGTCATGAAGTATTGTGGTTTTTAGTTTTAGTTGGACACACACAGAACTGCCTATTTTATTTATATTTTTATATATATATATATATATATATATAATGAAGTTTTAATTTTAAAAAAAATATCAATATGTTTTTTGTTTAATTTATTAATACTACATTTTTTTCTGAAACTTAGTAATAAACTTTATTCATTTTTTTCCATATATTTAGGCAAAAAATTCTTTTAAAAATGGTGCATATAATTCCTAATATTTACATTATGTAAATGTTCTATTGTTGCATAGTATATTGATTTATGAATAATATTGTTCTAATAATTTTTGCTTAAAATATTCTCAAAAGTGATGATTTTTGGCAAAGTTATTTTTTTATTTCAGCTGATCTTCAATGTTTTGGAAGTGACTGCTATGCAGTGGCCTTTGGTGTTCCAGCAGTTCTTATGTTGCTGTCCTTGAGTAAGTTTGTTTTATATTTCCTAACACCACATAATATCAGCATATTTGAAATAAATGAGTAAAAGAAAAAATGCAGTATTACATTTTCAAAACTTTTAATTATGTATCATCTCAACTCATTATTCTAACCATTTGATTTACTGGTAATTTTTCATCTTTGAAAGAATGCTTGTAGGAAAAATGTAACCATATATTTGCTTCAAATTAAGTCTGTTTGTCAACAATGACTTAATCCATGGATTTTTTTCCTATGCTATGTCTTCCATGTTCCCAATCAGTTGTTTTCTCTGTTAGACTAGCATGAACATTAGGGTACTGCATAAAGACTTCTCTTATGTTTTGTCTTTTCTTAAGTCTTCAGTTTTTGGAATGCAATTCATATTTACTACAAGAGAAAAGGCATATATAAATTATGATATAAACATAATTTCTTTACAGAGGTGAAAATATGGCAAGCAATTATTTTTAAGAATTTTTTTTTTTAATATATTGTTATATATTAAATATAATTTTTATTTTAATTAAATGATGATTTTTTTTTTTTTTTTTTTTTTTTTTTTTAATTTAAAAATTTTTCAGCAATTTTTCTTGCTGGACGAAAACAGTATAAAAAAAATCCACCAACTGGTAATCTGTTTGCCAAAGTTTGTGGCTGCATTTTTGTAAGTTTTTTCTTTTTATTTTCATACCAATTGTAAATGTTTCAGTATCGTTATACAAAAACATTTTTTTTTTTTTAATTACTTATTGATTTAGTGACTTCACAGCTTTTGAAAACAGATTTAAATTCTCATTGATCAAGAATGCTTCCTTTTTTTACACACACACACACACACAAATGTATGTGCGTGTAATATATATATATATATATATATATATATAATTTGTCTTGGCATTTTTAATAATTACTATTCAGTTGTGAATACACAAATACATTTTAATCATGCAGTTAAGATTACACTTAATCTTTTTATATTTGTTATTTCTTTAATAAAAGGAACATTTAAGTTTTTAGTTTAATAATGACAATATAAAAAACATTAATATTAAATGCCTTTCAATTGTATTTAAATTTTAAAAAGTCATAACTTCAAAAACTGAGAAGTGAAAACAAAAAAAACAGATTTAGAAGTGTGTATGTATAATCTACCTACAGCAATTTAACAAATATTTAGAATATTTTGTATAAACTATATACATATGAGTGAATTTTTAAATATTTCTTTTATAGATGCAATGGATTAAGATGCTAGGAAAGAGAATTTATAATTTGTAACTTCTAAATGTATTACTGAAGAGAATAACATGTTGGCAATATTTCTTGAAGATTCATTGAGCACACACACACACACACACACTTTTAACTTTGTTCAAAAAGTATTGCAATTAAATATCTATAATCATACAGAGGTGGGTGCTGAAAAGTTCTTGACTTGACCCACTTCCCAAAATTAGTATTCTGATGTTTGGTCATTGAAATACTGATTTTGGAGTTAGACCAAGAACTTTTCACTATCCCCTTGTATATTATTAATGAATTTCAGAATGCTTAAAATATTAAAATCTTGCTAAATATTATGGTAATAATGGGAAAACATAAGCATAAACAAATATCACTTTAACTTTTGTATGTTAATACATTTTTATGTTAATATATTAATACATTTTTTTATATATATATATATAGTACTCTTTAAAACAGTGCTGGGTGCAACGACATAACAAAATGCATTCCCATTGGTTAAACTTGGCACTGGATAAATATGATGTAAGTAATTGCTTATTCATATTATTTATTAATATATATTACCTTATTTAGAAATTACTTTTTTTTTTTTTTTTTTTAATATGTGTAGAAAGGCCTTGGTGCTTTGATTTTTGTCACAATAATAGTCAACTGTAGAGAAAATCTTATATTCTGACCTAAATTCAAGAAATCTTCTTTTTTTTTTTTTTTTTTTTTTTTTTTTTTTTTTTTTTTTTTGACTCTGATAATTGTAAGAGTAAAGGTTTTCCCAAATGTAAGTTCTGTATATACAATCATGTAAATTACCTAGTGCCTTAGGACTAATCAAATGCCTGTAGGTGGGTATGAAAAAATCTGCATAACTGACTGAGGCACACATAAAAGCTGGCAGATTTTGTCTGAGAGAGAAAAGGATTATGTTCAAGGACAAAGCCGTAGCAGTGAAGAATATGAAACAGATTATTACAAATATATTATTACACTTAGGAAGACAAAAGTTAACAATAGTTACTATAATTGTTTTTTTAATGACACAATTGATCATGAGCTATTGCCTTGTTGCAAAAGATGTAAAATTTTAAGATAATAAAAATATTAACACTATCTCATGCCAATAACCCATGAATATGATAGGGGAATTATCCTGGTAAAAAGTAAATAAACTCTAGAATAACAGGAAGTTACATTTTCAGGCATTTTGTTTCTTAAGTCTTCCCTCCAAAACTTTCTCTTATTCATAATGAGAACTGTTTACTTGATGTTTACTTGATGAGAGTTAATCCTGATGGCAATAGTAGAAGAATGTGTGATCTATTTATGACAGATTCGAATTTCCCTGCCTTTTTTGTCTTGTAATATATGACTTCTCTGTTTGACTTAATAGCTTTCTCCAATCTGATTGGTCATATCTTTAGTTTAAAAAGATGTTATCTAAAAAAAAAATAGTGTTACAATTTCTTATAGTTTGCCACTGTAATGGGACTCTAAAAAAAAGAAAAATTCATTTTATACAAAAAGCTATATTTTGTTTATTAGTAATTTTTACATTAATCCTTTCTTCTGAAAGATATACTTTGCTGATGTTCAATGGGCAAAATACAAATTGAGTGCTGAAACAATCTTTAAGTTAAAAAAAATTACAAAATTTGATAGTTTAGCATGACATAGCTCTGTAACATCTTATGTACATCCAGAACATAGGTGATCATGTTTCTCCACAATGTGTAAATTGCCATAACATTTTGGGAAAATAGTTGAGTAGTTTTCCATTGCCATTCCATGGTTTTGAATTCCGTTTTCCTTCTCTTGGACTGGTTGCTGCCCAAAGCTAGTGTTCAGTCTACCCTACTATTTAATCAATAGCTGGGAAGAAGAGATTAATGCTTTTCTCAAGGGTTTTAACACAACAAATTAGACAGAAACTCCTCAATACCACTTTCTGTGCCCATTCTGTAAAGTGTATGATTTATACCCTCAAGACATGCTGCTAAAGTTAATAGTTTATATAAATGTTCTCATAGAACATAAAAAGGTATTAAAAGATCACCTTTTTGAATTTGTATTTACTGTCTGTTTAAATACTAAATAAATGTACTATGGAAATTTTGGGATCTGCTTAATTCCAATATATGTTTTTAATATTTGGCATGTCACTATAGATGTAATCATTGAAAAAAAATGAAATTTTGAACAAAAGTGAAAGAATATGGATGAACCAAGCAAGCAGGGGTTCTCTTTTAACACCTGGATTACCTCCACCTTCCAATGTATTATCAATGTCATGGAATTAGTCCATGCAACAGGTCAAGTGGTAAAAGGTGAGTTGCTGGTTAATCTACCCACTAAAAAGAAAATTGTGAAACTGAATACATAACTGTAGCAGCCACAACAACTGAAGTTTTTAATAAAATTATTGAAAAAAACGTTTGATAAATTCTAATTTCTTCTTTCTATCACTATATATTATGACAATCAGGATACTTTAGCTCTTGCAAAAACTCTTGTACAGCATCATAGATCAAAATACATTGACATAAAATACTACCTCATTTGGTCTTAAGTGTAGAAAGGTCTTGTACTAGTATATATTCTATCTAAGCAAAATGGAGGCATGGTGGAGTAATGGATAGTAGCTCAGATTGAGTTTGAATTCCAGTCAAATCCATTATGTTCACTTGCTAATACATTTAGGAAAGGTATGAATCCTCTTCTTCTCCCCCAGCTATGAATAAATAGCAGGATAGACCAGGTTCTCTAGCCTTGGATGGCAACTGGTCTACTGCAGAAAGAAATGGCAACCTACTGTGGGGAAAAAATCTGCCTTGTCAGTCATGTATTGAAAGATACATGATCGCCTAAGTGTGTATCATGCATGTCACATAACTGAAGCAAAATGTAGCAGATATATTCACTAAACTGGTGACAGGAATTAAACAGAAGTTTTACAGTATCATTTTAGAGTTCCAACTCCAAACATAAATTTTGTATAAATTAGATTTAAATTATTGGGAATATTGGAATGCTCTCACCATGCTTTGTGAAACAAATTCCAAAGAGAAGGCTTTCCCCACCCATGACAATTTTAACCTCTTCAAGTCTAGGGTCATCCGATATCTATCCTACACATCTTCATGATATGCACTTTTTCCTCTTTTACCATAATCTCATTCAGTAACCCTCTACCTTGTATGGCTCTTGGGCTTTGTATCAGATGAAAAATAGTAAAAAAAAATAAATAAATGAGGTTATTGGAATATATATGATCATATGTAATCATACATTTCTGGCAGCACTCTCACTGACATATTTGAATATAAATTGCTGCCCTTTATGATATTGAAAACAAAGCAATATTAAAATGTATTCTATTTGTGTCTATTCATCAATTTTTGTTTTTGCTTTTAATGTATTTTTTTTCCTTTTATGTTTTCATTTCAGCCTGTATTTGTGGAAGAAGTAAAATCCTTATTACGTGTCCTTGTGATGTTTTTACCCCTGCCTTTGTTCTGGGCACTGTTCGATCAACAGGTGAAATTTACCTTCTCATATGTTATAATGTGTATATATTCATAGACATTCACACTGCAGATACATGTAAAAATGTTTAATTGGGCTTATAATTTCAAATGTCTACTTTCCCATTTGTAATCTGTAACTTTTCCTTTTTGTCTTTTGTATATAAATATGCATGATTGTCCTTATAGTGCACTATTCAAACATACTGAAACTGATAAAGACCACAAAAGATAGAATTTATTTAAGATAACAGAAACGTGCGGTCATTCGCCACTGCCCGTTTTATTCATAGGTACCACGAAAAGATGCCCTAGGGGTAAAGGACAGATAACCCTTCGTCTCGAATAACACAATAACACATTGTGTCATTCGAGATGAAGGGACGCAACTCCATATCTATGTTCAATATATAACTGCCCTTATGTTTTTTTAATACATAGACGGATGCAAAAGTGAATGAGAGAGAGAGAGAGAGAGAGAGATTATATACTTCGGATGATGCTGAAAAATCCTCAGCTTGATCCACTTTCCAAAATCTGAAAAAAATGACAACATCAAAATGTATTTTGGAATCTCTTGATAAGGGTAAGAACTTTTCAGCACAATCTCATGTGTATGTTTTAATAAAAATACAACCTTATATTTTTATATATATTTTTCTTTTGTACCTTATTTCTGTTTCATACATTATTTTTATCTTTTTACATTTGAAGGGCTCAAGATGGACGCTTCAGGCCCAATTAATGGATGGTAGTCTGGTATGTAGTAAACAAAATAGTTTCTCACATTGAGTTGATTGAGAGAAATTCCTGGAAATGTAAAACAGAAATAAAAAACATAAAATAAGCACACTTATCAAGAAATGTTTTTCATGCAAAAATTACAATTTCAATTGTAATTTTTTATCAAACCATAAAGGAAAGATGTCCTAACTGACAAGTTGATGAGGTTTCTTATTTGACCATTTTCTTAGAAACAAAGAACTTGAAACAAAAATAGAGATATTCTAAAAATTTCATTTGTAATGCCTACAATATCTTGAATACCAAAAGGATTATTATAATAACCAGAAGTTAATATAATTATCCCTTGTATTGTGAAGGGAAGGTTTCATAAGAGGTTTAAAGTAGATTTAAATGTAGATATTCTTAATTCAACTAATGCTTTTTCTGTAAAGATCTTTTCTAATTTTGTTCAGTTTAATGAAAGAAACAAATTGAAAAATCCTTATGAAGATATCAACATCCACTTTTATAAAATATGAAACACGAACATTGAAATTTACTCATTTCTTTAGCAAAGGAACTTTTAATAAAACTAAATATACAATGAATCAAAAATATTATTTAAAATTATAATTTATGTCTATATTATATTTCTGTGTAGAATATTTTCCCATCAAGCATAAACTTAATGCACACAAATTAATTTCAGCTATCTTTTCTGAAATAATTAGCAATAATTTTTTCAAAATTATTTGTGAAATAATGAACGCAATTTTGTTGATGACTTAATAAAAAATAGTTTTATTTTTCTTTGTATCTATTTTCTTATTTTCAGGGAAGTTTAGGCATTTTAAAGCCTGATCAAATGCAAGTAAGTAGCATTTTGTTTTTCATTTTGATGTCCTTTCATTATTTCTATTATTTTCTCCCTCTTGTTGTTGCTTTTGATGATAACACTATGGGTTGATACACTGAGTGTAAGAGGGGGGAAAAATTTGTAATTGTCAAATATTCTGTAGGAAATTTTTTATTATTTTATTCAGATTTATTTATACAGATATTTTAAATCACCTTCATTGAGATCTGTGTTTTCCTCAATTTATTTTGTTTCAGGCCTTAAATCCGATCCTCATAATTATGATGATTCCTTTGTTTGAAAGTGTTATTTACCCAATTATGGATAAATGCCGAATACCCAACAGGTAATAATCATTTTGTGGCATGGTCATATATTCATTTTCCTATATTTATGAACACCTTTTATGATTAGTTATTCACTTAAAAAATGCTACAACTTTCAATCATTTATATTTATATGAGAAATTTATGAAATTTGAGATTTTTCCATACTGTAGAAAACAATCAAAACTGAATTCTGAAACCTTCTTATTCAATATCCTGAAATGTATTCTTTGCTCTTTCTCTTTTTCAGACCTTTGCAGAGAATGGTAACAGGAATGATATTTGCAACATCTGCTTTTCTTATGGCAGGTTTTGTTCAACTTCATCTTAATGTAAGATTATTGCCACTATGGCTACTTTATAAACATATACAGATATTTAATGTTTAATTTTTATTTTTTTAAGATGAAATGTTTAATATGCTGTTACATCGTTTTATATTTTGTTTCATTCTTAAAACTTTTGGCAAATGGGAATAGCTATTTAAATTTTGTAGATAAAATCTAAAAAGTAACAATTATGAGTGATATATGGCAATCTAATATACTTACATATGTATTTAATTTTGAATTTATTGAAAAGCAAAAAACATTCAATTTTCTACAAAATGGCTGGCGTTGTGCAACTGACAAATTCTACAAAATCAGATTAACTGTCCAGCTATAAAATTATTAAAAGGTGATAAGTGTTAAAATGGAAATAAAAAAAATCAATGACTAGATATTTAATCAGTTATGTGCCATGTGTGATGCACGCTTAGGTGATCATATATCTTTCAATACATGATTGACGCAGCAGATTTTTTCCTGCAGTAGGTTGCCATTTATTTCTGCGGTAGACCAGTTGCCATCCAAGGTTATAGAACCTGATCTGTCCTAATATTTACCCATAGCTGGGGGAAGAAGAGGATTCATAATTTTCCCAAGGGTATTAGCATGTAAGTGAATGTAATGGATTCCACTGGAATTTGAACTTGGCTCTCCAATTTCTCAATCGAAGCTGCTATCCAGTACTCCACTGTGCCTCCTCCTATTATTATATTTAAGCTAAGAAGAAAAAAAATGAATGAAATGTATTTTTTATAAATACTGTGGCAATTCTGATCTCAATGTTTTACTAATTAAACGATATTGACTAGATATTAATATAGCTTAATTAGTAAAACAGTGAGATTAAAATTCTCTACAAAATTCAATTCATACATATGCTGTTTGAAAAAATACCAACTACAGTATGTCCAGGGATAAGAATTTTCTGCTGAAATCCATGATTGTTTACATCGTTTGGGTCATTTTTTCAGTATATCTGTGGAGAAAATTTTTAATTGTTTTCAATAAAATCAATTTTTATGAAATACAATTCGTACTAAAAATAAAAACTATCTACTATGTAAAAGTTTCATATGCAAAATAGATAAATCTCTGAAAAATTTAAAATATTTTAAAATTTTTTCACTAAAATCTAATTAGAAAATAATTTAGTCATAATTTTGCCAATTATTTTTGTAAAATAGGATATTAATAAAAATTCAAAATAGCATATCTATGTAAAGGCGATTATGAATTTCTTGATATTGTGATGTCATAAAATAAAATGAACTAGGAGGTGGGAAGTGAATATGCATAAATATTTTTAAACTAATCTTTTCATGTATAAAATTTGAATTTTTAAAGAAAATACTGAAAATTTCATCAATTTTTAGAATTTTAGATTTTTGAAATTGCAAACTGAAAGTACATAAAATAAAAGGAAGAATTTCATTTTTTTTTTCCTTGGCAGTCATCACAACTAAAATTCTCCAATTAACATGAAGACTAATGAATCCCATTATATTAGAACTGTTTTTAGAATAGTGAATTGGTTAAAGATGTTTATGAATGTGAGGTGAAACAACCAACTCTGCGAAAGACTAAATTAGAATAACTGAAAAAATATATTTAAAATCTCATGAGAAAACCTACTAGATAATAATGTTAAGGACTTTATAAAATATGCCATTACTTTTTATGAGATGAAGGCAGTATTAAGTAACTCAAATTTGGATTGAATTTAAAGTACTTTTTATAATATATTTTCTACTATAAATGATATCGAAAATCAAGATAACTCAAATCTGTCATATAAATCAAACAGTTGTTTATTTGTTTTATTGGATATCATGATGATTTCTTGAACTATAAGCTTCCATTTAAAAAAATTTATACATATAATATTTATATAGGATATGAATTTACGTGTTTTTTCTGAAGATCAGTGGATCACCATGATCAATGTTGCTACTTGTGAAATCTCTGTTGAGTCTGTCTATTATACAGGAAACCTCAAATACCTTCAGGTAAGTTTAACATGCTAATAATAAATCATGAATGATTGCATGCATAAACATTTTCTGAAAAATATAATCTTAGAAGCTTTATTTTTATATTGACTTAAGTCACAGTATTTGCCCATAAATAAGGTAAATATTACTGTACAAGGCAAATGAAAATCAAGAAATGTCTTAAAAATCTAATAATATAATTTGCATGAAACTGACAAGAAGTGATAGTAGGATACAAAGGACATTGTCAAAAACAAGAAACCATTTTAATGAGATAATTTTTATCACAATTCTGGAATTTTATATATATATATATATATATATATATATTAAACTTTTTCTAGTAATTCCTAAAGAAATTTTGTATACTAAAAATGAAAATAGTATTCATTATAAGATTATGGATATTTTGCTTTTATTGGTATAATAGTTGTCTATTCATTTCTGAGTACACTTGTTTGTGAGGGTGGTTAGCTCATTATTTTTGCGGACACCTGCTCAGGTTCATTTGGCTTTACTCAATACCCACAGAGCCAACCTCTGGTTTCTACTACAACTATGCTGAGGAACCTTATTTACAGTTTCTGGGAGAAACAGTTTTGAACAAGGCCAATACGCTCAAACCCTTGGTCATGATGACTTGTAACTTCATACAAGCTTTCAAACAGATATTTTCTTTCTCAATTTCATTCACAAAGCTTGGATCAACCTATGGTGGAGATTTCGGATACTTTCCACTGATGTTGCATACTGGGATTATCTCCAGGTCAATAACTTTCAAAAGTCACCTCCCTTATTAATCAGCCATGATGAATTTTGAACCCATGCCTCATGTTTGGAATGTGAATGTTCTTAACATTCGGTAACACATCTATTTTTGTTGATGTAATAAGGAATCAATATGGCTATAGCACATATATGTATGATAGAAATGTTGATTCCCAATAAATAAAATCTTTAATTCTATGAATTATTCAAATTAGCATCCTCATTACTCTTGCTTATATCAACTAGTGCACTTTCTGACCTTCTTCAAATGTATTTTACATCCATTAATCATCAATGAAATTAAATAAATTCCTTTTATTCATATTCATGCAATACTCATTCATTTCATATTCTGTGTGTGTGTGTGTGTATATATATATATATATATATATATATATATATATAAATATTTTTGAAGGTACAAAATTTAATAACAGAAATAAAAGTGTGAAGCTTGATATTACTAGACATTTCTAAAAGTGAAGTAACCAGTTTCGCTCCCACTCATCAGGCCTCCACGGGAGATTTAACTTAAATTAAAACACTGGAAAATGTGCAATGAGAAGTGGGGGAATGAACACAAGGAGCTAGAGATCCAACAAACATTCACGCTGTTTACACAAGGAAGGTTTGCAGAACCCGATGTAAAGTGCCTCCAGCACCTTGAGGTGAAATAATGAGTGCGACCTGGTCAAAACAGTGAACCAATCAGCACTAAAATTAGCAGCACACCCACTGTTATTTAAGAGGTGCTAACTTATGGTGGAACCATAGTTATTTGGGACACATCCATTCAACAACAAGGTGTGATTCCTGATTTTAGTGGGAATATGTTGTTTAATTCTCATGTCAAGGTGTTGAGTGGTTCTCCCTATGTAGTTAGTGCCACAACTACAATTATATTTGTAAACAATAGAATTAATTTGATGGGGAGGGAGAACATCCTTACACCCAGAACGACACATAGGCCTTCAGAGGCTTGTCAAGCAAAACTGATTGAAAACCTTGAGGTGCTTCACAAAGAGTGGAATAAGGCTGGAGTCTGCATCAAAATGACCATGCACAGACATATCTTAAAAATAGGCTACAAGTATTACATTCCTAGTGTTGAGCCACTGACAATGTCAGACTGAACCAAAAACAATGTCAGATTAGGCTAAGGAGAAAAAGAACTGGACCATTACTCAGTGGCCTAAAGTTTTCTTTTCAGATGAGAGTAAATTTTAAATTTAATCTGGAAATGAAAATTCCAAAATCTGGAGGAAGAGTGGAGAGGCATAGAAACCAAGTTAATTGAAGTTTAGTGTGAAGTTTTCAGTCATTAGTGATTTGGGGTGCCATGTCATCTGCTGGTGTTGATCTACTGTGTTTTATCAAATCTAGTCAACATAGCCTTCTATGTAGTAAAGGAAAGTGAGAATAAAGGACTAAACATCAACTGCAAGAAAACAGAATGCATGCTTGCTATCAAAAAGATGAGCACAAAATGCAACTTACAAATTGGAGTTACCAAAATCAAACAAGTACAAAAATTTAAATATCTGGGAAATGCTCTAACAGAGGATGGAAAGTGTGACACTGAAATGCAAAATCACATTGGGATAGCCAAAGATGCATTCCAAAAGCTAAGCAGACTATTAAGAGAGAGAAAACTTTGTTAGAACCCATAAAAAGAGTACTGAATTGTTATAAGATATCTGTCCTCCTATATGCCAGTGAATGCATCTTATAGATGTAGATTAATTAGATTAAATATGAAAACATTAATCAAGAAAAATAGAATATTTCCATTCAATGTCAAACTCCTTGTTCAGTGTTCATAGCAACAGGTGATATGCATGTAGATAACAGGTAAAAGATAAAGTTGACAATTTGTGGTGAGTCACAGGTGCAACATGTGTTGATTGGTTGCATTTCCATAAGTCTACATATCTTCTTATAATTCTGCTTGTTCTTCCCTTAGTTCATTAGTTAGCACATACATTACACCTTGCCAATACCTCATAAATAATTGACTATTCTGTTTTGATTGCATAGAAAGATGGAAAAGACATCAGAGATGCTACTTGGTTTCAATGAGGAAATGAAAGAAAGAAGGGAAAATAGAAGTGATAACACTCTCGTGTCTGTTTCAGTGAAATGAGAAAAGTTGTCACTTTCAGATTTCTTCATTTGTACCCCCTTACTTCTTTAAATAGTGACCAGCATTCATATTTATGATTGTTATTGTGTTATTTTATTGAAGCTAAGATCAGATATTTAACAATGTGATAGAGAAATTTCTATGGATATTTTATTGTTGTAAAACTCATGAGCTTATTCCATCATTAACTTAAGAATTAAGATTCATCAGAAAATTCAAATAGGAAAATTGTGAAATTTTCAAAGGTATTTCTTCTTCTTATTATTATTATTATTATATTTGCAATAAAGACCTTCATCTGTTATCAGTGTATATTGGAAGACATATATAATGTATACTTTTATATATAGATAGTTTATGAAAAACAATTGTTGAATTCAAATTTTATATTTTGTCATTACATAATTAAAAAAAACTAAATGTTTTGTTCCTCTTTTCTGCTATATAATTAATAAATTAAAAACTGTCAACTTTAGAGGAACAAAATTTTTTCTTTCAGTTTTATAATGAATTTTTTACTGACCAAAAAACCTAACGATGACAATATTTTTATTGAAATTAGCTTATTGTTGCTGTTCTGCCTGTCAGTAATACAGTGTGTGGCAAAAGTATCACCTACATAATGGTATGACACCATTACTACTAATGTCTTACCATTATGTGGGAGGAATTTCTGTTGCACCCTGTACATCTAAGAAATAAATGATTACTTCACAATGAATTAAAAATAGATAATTACAATTGTTTGTAAATAACTTTATCTCAAGTGTATTATTTATCTGCTAATATGGGTAGTTACTTGTAAAGAAAAGTGAATTGATTTATACTTTAATACTTGTTTATATCTTATTTGGATTTTGTTTATTTTTTCAGTCATCTAATTTTACACGGAACATGGCAGGAAATTTGACAATTAAATACTCTAAAAGCTGTGTCACAAATGATATGGTAGAGTCTGACATTTACTTGGAGAATGGCCAGGCTAGCCGTCTATTTTTTTATGAAAAATATGCCAAGATCCATATTCAAACAGTATGTAATAAAGTGCTAATATCTAACAGTTATTTTTTAACCTTGAAGATTAAAAAATTTAATTGCAAAATAAAAAACAATTCTTCAAATCAATTGAATTCTGAATCTTTTTCAGTTGATGTTTTGAGATTAGTCACAATTTTAAAAACAAGCATTATTGCTACTCATCATTATATTTTTAGCAATGCTCTTAATTTACCAGCAGTACCTGTATTTTTATCTTTTGAAAATTCTGAGAAAAAATGTCTACCATCTGAAAGCTAAAATTAAAATGTGTGTGTTTGCACATAATATTTTTTAATATCAAATTGTAAATTATTATTTGTCTATCAATTATTTTTTAATATTAATCTAAAAGTATTTTTAAGTTCATACAATTTTTTTTCTCATTTAAAACAAAATTCAGAGAAAAATGAAATTGATTTTCTTGATATTTTTTTTTTTTTCTTCAGGCAAATGATCTAACAGATAAACCACCAAAGGGCATGGCAGCTATCAGGTGATTATAATCATTTGTATTTATTTGCTTATTTAAGTCAGACAATATTTATCTTAATATAAAATAAATCTCTCAAATCAGGTAACTTTAATCCTCATTTTCTTATTTTTTTTTCTTTCTATTGGGATTAGTTACTAGATCAGGTTATATGAATTTTCAGATAAAAAAAATCTAGTGATCAATGAATGTATTTTATTGATTGAAATTTTATTATTGCCTTTTAATTTTTCATAACAAAAAAAACTCTGAATTCTCCCAACATTTGCATAAATATCTTCTCTTTAAGCATATGGAAATTAAAAAAAAAATCAACATAATCTTAAGCTGTAACCAGTTACAACTTTAAAAGTGTTTCTATTTAAAAAAAAAAAAAGAAAAAAGTTGGATTACTGATTTAACAGAAGATGCAACTGAGAAATCTTTCAAAACATCCAGAACATAGAAAATATATTTTTAATATTTTACACTTGTTGCTTTATTTAGCTATTTTATACTGTAGAACCAACAATTATACATAATTCCAAACACTGAGTACAAATTACTTTGATTGTTATTTTCAAGTTGGCAAGTAACCTGTAAAATGGCTAACATCTTTCTAATAGGTAGGAACATAAGCCACCTTGCCCCATATTCAAAAGACAGTCATTTTAAGTAACTTTTAAAACAAAAAACAGATGGTGATACATTCTTAATATAATCTATTTCTATATGCATGTATCAAGCTTGCAAGAAATCTGAAGTTTGATTTCTTGCTTTTGCAATGATTCTTGATAATCTTCATAGAGGACCAACAAATATTTATAATTGGTTACTATTTTTTAAATCGAAAATGTTTCTTGTATTTATTTGTGCTAATAGTAATTTTTTTGTTTGCAGAATATCAAAGAGAAAAAAAATGTGTAGAATCACATAAAATGTAAAATAAGAAACAACTATATTTATATTATAGTGGTGTGGTAGAAAAATATTTCTTCATTAAATTTTAAAAAGCAACAAGTTACAAAAGAGAAAATAACTTTTAAAATTAAATTAGCATAAATAAATTTTTTAAAAAATGACATTTAATGATATTTTCAGTGTAAAAGTTTTTTCAGAAATGCATAATAGATGTTTTGGAGATAGCGGCAACCCCAAAATTTGCATAATTCTTTGAAAAAAAAAAAAAAAAAGCAATCAGTGCAGAATTTGGTTGGAATTACTCACTGAATTACTATGTGAAAATTAATAATGTGGATGTAAAAATGCAACTAGACACTGATATCACACTAATCAATGAAGCCACATGGAAAGCGAATGAAAAACCTATATTAGAAAGAGCTTTGAAAATCACATGTGGCATGTCAAGTGAGAAATTATTTTTTATTGGCAAAATGGTTTGCTACATCTCATTCCATAACAAGTGTGTTAAAACTAAGGCTTATGTGTTAAAAAATACTACAAACTGGCTGGATGGAATCATTTGAGCTGTGGGATTTACCTATAAATATTTATTGCAAAAATGTAAGTAGACAAATGACCAATTTAAAAAAAAAAAAAAAAACAGTGAAAATTTAAAGGAAGAATTGAATAAAATGTTTTCCAGATGTTCTGTCTGATGAGTTGGGTCGGTGTTCCAAAGTCAAAGCCAAATTTCTCATGAAAAAAGGGTCAATGCCAGTGTTTAAACCAAAACGTAGCAGTGGATCAAGTCAATGAAGAATTACAGACTTGTAAAAATAGGTGTAATTGAAAGGATTGACCATTTAAAATGGGCAGCACCAGCAGTGTATGTAAAGAAAAAAAAGAACGGAAATTCATGTTTGTGCTGATTTTTTTTTTTTTTTTTTTTTTTTGTTTGATGGTTAAACAAATGTTTAGAAATCCATAACTACCCATTACCAAATCCAGAGGAAATTTTTGCAAATTTAAACAGTGGAAAAACCTTTTTGAAGCTGGATCTTTCTGAAACATATTTGTGAATACAGGTTGAAGAAGAATGCTCAGAGTTAACAAATATAAATATGCACAAAGGGATTGTATAAGTCCAACTGATTTCCTTTTGGAGTAAAAGTGGTTCAGCTATATTTTAACAAGCTATGGATACTATGCTTGCAGATTGTGATTTCTCAGTTGCTTACCTGGATGATATATTAATGAAAAGGAACAACATATCAGGCATGTGAAAAGAGTTTTTGAAAAAATATGAGAGTATGGGAAAAGTGCAAATTGTTTTTGCCTCAAATCATATTGGCTTCAGATGTTAGTACCTATAGTATAGGAGCAGTAATTCTACATAAATATGATGACAATAACATGAAAGTCATCACACATGCTTCATGTTTGCTACTACCAGCAGGAAAAAAACTACAGCTAGATTGAAAAGGGTGTTTCAAGAATGAAATATCTCATGAGAAGCTATGTATACTGGACCAAAATGGATTAAGACATTGAAAATTAGTGAAAGCCTGCAGAGGTTGTGCTCAGGCAGCACGAAATTACGACCTTGGCCAAAGACAGATACTCCGTGGTAGCACATAACACATACATTTTGCAGGTTCAATAAATGGATCACATTATCTTGTGGTAGTGGATAGCTTTACTAAGTGCCCTGAAATTTGTAAGTTCAAAAAAACAACTTCCATAGTGAATTTTTTACACAAACTGTTTGCAAGATATGGCATTCCGGATTCCATAGTCTCAGGTAACAGTGCACAATTCACTGTTTCTGAAGTTAAAGAATTTTGTAAAATGTTCTCAATTGAACATATCACCAGGCCATATCACCCAAAGTCAAATGAACAAGCTGAACAGTTTGTGGGTACTTTTAAAAGAGCTTTGAAAAAAAGCAAGTAATGAAAAAGTGAGTGAAGCCCTACAAAAATTCTCAAGAGTATACCAGATAATGTTGAATCCCAATACATCGACAGAATTGATGTTTGCAAGGAAAATTAAATTGGTGTTCAACAAAAAATGAATAAGAACATATAACAAAAAGGATACAAAATTTTTCAAAATTGGCATAAAAATTTTTCAGGTATTTAAAATAGAAATGAAATGTTGGAAAACAGTGTAATAAGGTCACAAAGTGGAAAAAACACACATATATATATATATATATATATATATATATATATATATATATATATATATATAAAAAAAAATTAAAAAAAATGGGAACACAAAAGGTACTGGAATTAGTTAAAAGAAAAGGTTCACTGAAGAAAAAGGCCAGCAAGAAAGGAAGAACCTATGCAAGTACTGTATGATACTTTTGATGTACCAACATGGTTTTGATTACCAGAAAATGTACAGAAAAATTAGAGGTTGACCCAAAATGAAAGAAATACAAAGTTCAGTATGTTGGCAAACTTGCCAGAAAGAGGGAGTGGATACTAAGAAATAAAATATTTACTAATAAAAAAAAAAAAAAATCTCAAAAGGAGGGATGTAGTGGAATAAATAACACACACTTGGTAACCCAAATCAACTAGGCAAGACACTTTAAATAAAGAACTTCAAGTGAGTCAGGGTAGTCTGTTAGAGTCAGGAGAATTTCTAACAAATGTCATGGCAAGTAGCCTAAGGAAGACATAATATTATAGCTGCTAGGAGTGAGTTATAACAGATATAAATCTATAATTAAGAAAATTTAAGAACATTTGTATATTGTTTCGACATAGATTTAAAAATTCTGCCATCTCTACTGACATGTTAAAGAATAACTTTATGACAGAGTTGAGTCATATTTGGCAATTGAATTCATGTGTCAGTATGGAAAATGGAAAAAATTTACTTTTATGCAACTAATTGTATTACTTAGAAAATACTACTTGTTACTCTATCAGCATTTCTGTATTGATTTCCTTTAAATAAAGAATGCATTTATTTTAGTCCTGAAAATTAACAGAAGCAAGACTGCTCAGAATAAAATTCCAATAGCCCTGTTGCTATGGTATATACATTGCCTAGAAACCATATCACCATGTTTTTGTATTTGATTTTTATTTTTCCTTTTAAACAAAGTTTTTAGTTGTAATAAATTGAAAAAAAAAATTATTATTTTTAGCATTTGCTGTGCAAAATGATTTCTTTGCAATTGTTGTTATGGATGAACAGTCTGAGATTGCCTCCATATTTGAAAATGATTACTATCTATCAAAGTACACTTGTGCCATGTTTCATGCATTTATCAGCAACTAAGCAATTTTTGCACTAGTCACCTAAAATAATATGTGTGCTTTAGTTTTCTTTGTCTTTGCTTATCTTGTTATTTTGAATTGTCTTTTGCAGCCTCTTCAGTATGCTTCCCAAAGAAAACTTAGAAGTGATAAAACTAAAAGCAATAAGTACATACACAGTTATCAATTTCACAGAAAGCACAGCATCACCATTTTTTTATGTAGATCCTGCAATGTAAGTTACTTAAATTATATTTATTTTCAGTATCCAAAGAAACTCCATCCATAAAATGAAGGTGATGTTTAATAGATAATAATTATATTTTGTTACAAATTGAATCAGTGATTAGTGAAAAATAATTTTCTGCATTGTTACCATAAACAAGTGTTCAAGAAATGGAGAAAGAAAAGGCAAGAGAATAGAAAAGACAAAGAATATTTATATAATTAATATGCACTGCAAATGATTGTTAATCTTGTTGACTTTATGGCAACTATTAACTCACTTTCTATTTATTCTACATAATATTAATATTATTTTTAATATTATTTGCCGGCATATTACTTGTCTTTAAAAAAATTGAATTTATAAAATTTACTGATTCGGTTTTAAATGTTTTTAGCTTGTTTATTTTGAATTTTTGGATATATTATTAGCATCCAACAATAAATAAAATTTTTATATTTTTTTCTTATTAATCATGTGAATATTAAAATGTTTATTTTGATGATACTGTCCAAATTTATGGCTACAACTTTAATTTTTCCTTATTTTGATTACTTGAGAAAATTCAGATTGAAAAGTTCAGATATTTCTATACAAAACATATACATCTAATCAAATTGAACATTTTTGTTGACTAATAACACATTTTTTTTGCATTATTTATTTTGAAATAGAATTCAACTTATAAAAAGTTGAAAATCAAATATATCCAAAAGTGATAGCCTCAGTCTGGTGGTGTTATAAACTATTTGAAAAACAATACTAACATATTGATTATGTTGTTCACATTATAAATAAAATGAATAAGTACACGATGCAATGGATAAACTGTCCCCTGAATTATGAAAATAACACTGACATCTCATTCTAACAGATATATTTACCAAAATTACACAAAGATATCTTGAAATACTAAAGATTAAATTTATTCAATAAAATCACCATTGGCTTCAACCAAAGCCACCAGATGACTTCAGTATCTCCTGCAATATTCTGGACAGTCCCCTTGTTTAAGTTAGTGAATGCTGACATAATATTTGCCTTCAATTCATCTTTGGTGTTACAAGGAGTTTTGTTGGTTTCTCATTCAACTGCACCCCACACATAATAATCGAGGGAGTTGCAGTCTAGAGAGGTAGGTGACAAGATGTAAGGTCTGACAGCCATGACTGAGTTCTAATGCTTGTGTGGAATGGTGCAGTGTCCTGTTGCCAGACATAGTGCTGCCCTGCATCAAGAGGATGGCTGCTAGAAGACCCTATCTCCTCAAGGCACTTGATTTAGGTGTTGAGTCTGCAGCCCTCAATAACAAATTTGGGAGTTCTTATCAGGATGATCAAAGTGAGTTTTCAGAACTGCCATATCTTCGTAATCACCATTAGATTCCTCCAATTCTTTCTGAACCCTCTTCACTGTCCTCAGATTGACACCCAAACACTCTGAAATGTTTGTATTAGAGTTCCAGCATGGATGCCAAGCAGTACAGCGTGCTGTTTCCAAGTTTCTGGTAGAATGAATTACATCATGGTGCTCTTTTTCTCCCAGATGGTGCCCAACTGACCCTACTATACTGTGCAGTTGACAAAAACAAAGAATGCACATGTGCAAAATTAGAAATATAAAATGGCGACAATTTATCCATCGCGTTCTGTATATATGGAAATGTAAGATATTTATGACATAGCTGGTAAAACAAAATGACATTATCAAAATTTGCTAGTTTCATGCATTTTTCACGCAATCATCAGGCAGTTGATGGCTGTAATTTGTAGAATGGGTATCCTATATACCACCAGGTAAGTTCAAGATGACAAACCAACCAAATCTGCTAAAGAAAATTTTCTGTGAACATAGTAATTTCTATAATAAAGCTCTCAAGAATAGTGGCTACACATACCCAAAACTCAAAAAATAAAGGTGGAAATCATAGAAAAACCTGAAGTAGAAAACTCATTTAATATACACCCCCATATAACCAAATGGTAAAAAATAAATTAGGACAAAAATTCCTTGCATTAATCATTAAACATTTCACTAGAGACAGTAAACTCAGTACAATTTTTAATAAAAATACCCTAAAATTAAGTTACAGTTGTACTGAAAACTTAGAAATGATTATTAAGAAACATAATGCTAATATCTTGAATTTAGAGAGTATAATAAAAAGAAATGAAGATAAAGAAAAATTATGTAACTGTAGAAATCCTCAAAACTGTCCTCTTAATAATAAATGTCACACTGAATCATTAGTGTACCAATGCAATATCTCATCTATTGAGGAGCCAGACAAAGTAAAAGTCTACATTGGATGCACAAGACATGAATTCAAAAGGTGTTGGAACCAACATCAAATTTCTTTTAAAATAAGTAAATACTGAAATCAGACATCCCTATCTAAATACTTCTGGCACTTAAAGGAAACCAATAAAACACTTACTGTAAAATTGAAATTAATAAGAAAAGCTAGAATTTGTCGGTTATTAAATGACCCATGTCCTTTGTGCATACATAAGAAATTATACATTATTAAGCTTATGAAAAATAAAAATTTACTTAAAGAAATGAAATAGCTATTTTTTGCAGGCACTGTCAAAGATTTTCCTTAAATGATTAAATGGGGAAAAAGTAAAATAAAAAATGAAGAAAAAAGATGAAATATGAAACATACATATTTATATTTGATCTTTGAATAATATTTTAAATAAGAAAGTAATTCTAATATATTTGTCTAAGACAAACGTGTATTCTATTAGTAATTAGAATTAGGAATACTAATTTAAAATTATAGAAATAGATTTTAAATATTAAAAATACAACATACCCATATTCAAACAACCCTTTTGAAAAAAATCTTTGTGTATAAAATTATAAATTAAATGGCAAAATAAAAATGCCAAAAAACTTTTTCTCATTGAAAAAAACGACATGCAAAAAGCAAATGTCATTTGTTGAACAGGCACCCTTACCCTAACCTTAAGCTGATTTTAAAAGTAACTCATATTTTGATACACAGGTGGTCTATGAAAATGAATACCCTACCATCCCTTATCAAAATGATTGAATTTCCCATAACCTTACCAACTAAATGTATGTGCTTATAAACTCAGTAAATTTCAAAATAAGTTATTCCAAAAATCACTTGAAAATGAAACAGTACAAGGGATTTTAATTCAATTCTATAATTAAATTTAAAGTTTTAGTTTCTGTTTTTTAAAATATGGTAATTCCTGTGTTGTGATGGGACCATATTTTTAAATTAGTAAATTTATATATATTCCAGAAAGATATTTAATCAAAATTATAATGATGTGAAGTATGAATATTATAAACTATCATCTAATTGATTGAAAATAAGATTAACCTATTATTTAAAGACAAAAAATGTGTAAAACTATGCCAAGGACAGGCTTGTTGTTCTACTCACTGGTTTGGTGACATGCTGAATAGATCTCTGAACCCAGGGTTATGTTTATGTCAAGAAGTTCTTAGCTCAGAATTAAAACATTGCAAGCCTCAGCTAGCCATGTGGCATAAAACTAAAGTTGACAGATTCCTGAGATTGATTAAAATTTTGTAATAATGAAGACTGGAATATCATAACAAAATTTTAACAAAAAGTCTATTTTAGGTGTTGGTTACATAGGTGTTTCTGGGTAGCCTTCCTTTTCTCATCTGTAATATTTGGTATACAGTCATCTGAACTTTGAATCAATGATTCACAACTATGATGATTATAGAATAATAATCATACATGTCTGCTTTCTTGCCTCCCACTTCTTAAAGGTTGGGGTGATAATCTGATTGTCTATTCTTACAGCTGTTGCTATGGTCTATTTGTTTCTCTTGTGGCCTTTGTGGAACTACTTAAATTACACCCACACCTCTGTATATAAAATTCAACCTGCTGGCTTGTTATCAATAATGTGATGGCATAATTTGACCATTAATTTAAAGTTTTCCTTTGTTCTGGAATGCACATGGCCAGTTAACCACTAGACATATGATAACCTACTTTCTGAAAACTCTTCTTCTTAGAAGACCACCTGTGATTGTCTTAATGTAAAAAAAAACACATAGTCTATTGGTAAGCTTTGGCAGAGTTTTTTGAAAAACATTTTCTTTGAAATTATTTTAAGAAACAACACCATTTCAATTGATAGGACTTTATATAAACAACTTAAGGGGTTTTAGAGATTATTTTGTATTTCAACTGACAAAGTAATTTTTTATAATTCTTTTGCCCAGTTTGGCAAGTGTAGTGGGTGGATATAGGGTCATACCCAATAATACCTAGTCAGTAACTTATCTCCAAGTTAATATTGAAATCTGATTAAATAAGAACCCTCAGCTTTTCTAATTTCTCAAAACTAATTAACTTTCTTCATTAGTTTTTTTTTTTTCAAAATTTCATTCTAATCATTAAATGCAATCAAGTCTTCTTGCCTGTTTTTTTTTGATTCTATATCATAAAAATGAGCCTTTTTACATTTGACTATCAACCACCGTCAATCCTCTTTGGAGTTCTACTCACCCTACATGAGAGGATTTCCACATATAGACTAAATTAATGCAATAAACAAAAGATTATAAAAAAATTTTTGTGAAACAATGTGTTTCATAATAATTTTTCTCTATTTCTTTTATTTTTATGTATGAAGTGATGAACACTTTATATATGCTCTTGATTATGAGCATGTATATGAAAAAATGTATGTGATTAAGAAAGCCCTTTTGCAATATTTTTATGATCATTATTTAACATGTATCTATTTCTAAGCTGATCTATTTCATAATTTATTCAGTATCATTAATATCAAAATTACCATATCAGAACTGAAATTGGTTTTTTATTTCTTATTTATATTTACTTTATTCTTTAGGTATGAAGTATATGGTTTAAATAAAGATGATGAATGGTTTGACACTAACCATACATTAGAGATTAACAGTGGTGCCTCCTACACTGTTGTAGCTATACCTCATGGTCAAAAGAAAAAGGTAGGTCTTTACGTCAGTGTTTTAACATTTTATGTGATGATTTACAGCTTAAGCCTCCCAATTTTATAGATAGCTTAAAGATTTTGATAAAAGTATAAAATCGTCCTGTATTTGACTTATCTATGTTTAAAATTCAAATTAAGCAAAAATGAATATAAGTCCTTTGTGTTACATTTGTTGCATGATAAGTCCTTTTTAAAATGATTAGGAAACTATTTCAAGAGTTATTCAAACTAAGGAACTCATTCTTTTTGTTCTAACAAGTTTTATACTGATTTTATTACTTTTTTAAAGTAAAACCAATCTGAAAAATAATTGCTGTTGGAAATTAAAGTTTGTGTGTGTGTGTGTGTGTGTGTGTGTGTGTGTTTTTTTTTACCTCATAAAATGGCAAAACCAATATAAAAACTATCAACTAATTGTGTTTTGTACAGTCCAGTGTAACTTGTGAAATTTTGTATTCAAAATTGACAAATGTAGCAATTTGTACCAAATCTATCTCCTGGGCACAATGATAAATAGACAAACACACATACACTAGAATAAGGAAAAAATAGGAAAGGTTTATAAATTTAACATGTTTCACTTTTATTTAAGCTTAGTCAGAAATTTTTGGAAATGAGTTGTGGAAGAGAATGTTCTGGTACATTTGAGTTCTGTGTTGTTTGTTTTTCATCAATCAGGTAGATTTCATGTATTTATCTTGTGGTGTTTGTGTGTGTGTATTCATCTGGATTCTTGTGTGCATTTTTGTGTCTGTTAGTGACCCTGTGTTCCTGAAGATGGTAGTAAGAGGAAAATGGGAAGGTTTGAGGAGTTGCATCAAATTTCTAGTTGCTCTTGCGGGAGATGGTGTCAGTATGTATGCTGACTGAATACAGGCACAACTTTCCAATCTTCCCACTACTATCTTCAGGAATTAAACACATGGGCACTACCAGATAGGCACAAAAAGACCAACTAGAACCCAGATACACACACACACAAGTTATAAACATGTGAGATCTAACTGACCAATGACAAACAACACAGAATTAAAATGTACCAGAACATTCTCTTCAACAACTCATTTCACCAAATTTTTGTTGAAGCTCCTGTCATTGTTGGGTTTCAATCAATATTTGATGCCAATTCATATATATATATATATATATATATATATATATTTAATAACTGATTTAAAAATATGATTCCATCGCTACACAGGAATTATCATGTTTCAAAATCAGAAACTAAAAACTTCAAATTCAATTATATAATTAAATTAAAAGCACTAGTTCTGTTTCATTTTCAAGCAAATTTTGGAATAACTTATTTTGAAATTTACTGAGTTTTAAAAGCACATACATTCATAATATTTGTTTCCAAGGATACAGAGAAATCCAATGATTTAGACAGGGGCAGTAGCGTGTTCATTTTTATTAACGACTAAAACAAATAAATGTAATAGAATTACTTAAATTCTTTAAAAATTATTATTAAATATCAAATATAAGTATGTATATTACCAGCTCTTTTTTTTTTTTTTAAATATTATTTAAGGAAAATTTTTGACATTGTCAGCAAAGAATAGTTATTTCATTTCTTTGATTCAGTAATTTTTTTATTTTTTATAAACATAGTAATATATAGTTTCTCATGGGTCATTTAGTGACCTACATATTCTCACTTTTCTTATTAATTTCCATTTTACTGTAGGTGTTTTATTGGTTCTTTTTAAGTGCCAGAAATATTTCAATAAGGATGTCTGATTTCAGTATTTATTTATCCTAAATGAACTTTGATGTTGATTGAATCTTTTCTTGAACTCATGTCTTGTGCATCCAATATAGACTTTTAAATATAATAAAGTATAAATTTACAAAAAATGGTTTAAATTTATCCAGACAAAAAATTTTTAATAAAAAAAACAGAAAGAATAATAACAGGAAGTCAAAGCATCTGACCTAGAAAATCTATTTTTAGGGTGTTGGATGCCATCAGGCATTGCATAAGTGTGGTGAGAAATATATTAACATAAAGACACACACACATACAGACATATATATATATATATATATATATATATACACACATATAACCACAAATATGCATATATGTACAAACGCACATACATATATAAACATATATCATACTTATTATAAAACCCAGGTTGTGTGTGTGTCTGTTCGTTTATATATTGGATTGGCTTTCCTACATTTTTCAATCGATTTCAACAAAACTTCACTTTTTTTTTTTTTTTGGCAGATAGTGTTTCTTATTGTCTTGCACACTTTTTTCTTTATTTTTACATTCAGAATGCTTTAAAAATTCCATTTACAAGACAATTGTTTATAATAAAATTCTATTCAATCGGTAGACTCATAACGATTGAAAACAATGTTTTTGTTTCAGTTTGGGTTTGACCAATTCGTAAAAAAAAAAAACTAATTAAGACATGCGTGTCCGTCAACCTTAAACAATAATCTTTGTCAATTTTATTTTTCAGTCTTTATGATGGTCGATACTTGATCTATCTCTTACTGTTACATCCCCGAGCAATGCCGGCTCTACTGCTAGTATGTATATAAAAAAAAAAAAAAAGAAAATCATGGACAATAAATTGATTGATAGAAAATAAGAGATAAAACAATTGAATATATGATATAAAATATATAAAATACACACACACACACACAATTATACAAATATAAGAGGAGGAAGTGAAAATAATACAAAAATTTTTTGGAAAATTGAACCTCTTAAATTCAGTATCTGATTTATCTTCATATTTGTCGAAACCAAATATATACATATAAACATACACTCAACAAATACCCCTATATATACAAAATCACATATACATACATACATACATACATACATAAACAAATAACATACATATTCGAACCAATATATTCATACAAACACAAAGTAAACACACACATATATATATATATATATATATATATATTTTACAACAAAAAAACAAAAATTACCTCAACATAGAGATAGTCTATTTCAAGCTGTTCTGTGCACGGATGATAGTCTATTTCAAGCTGTTCTGTGCACGGATGATAGTCTATTTCAAGCTGTTCTGTGCACGGATGATAGTCTATTTCAAGCTGTTCTGTGTGTAGCCACACACAGAACGGCTTGATATCTCTATATTGAGGTAATTTCTGTTTTTTTGCTGTAAAAAAATACATATGCTTTGTTAAAATAAAAACATCGAGCTCTCTGTGGATCAGTTTTAATAATTGGTATTACTAGGTTCCACCCGGATTATATATCAACGGATTGATTACCTGTACTAATATATATATATATATATATGGACTGACATGTTCATACAAAGTAAACACCCATATATGTATAAGGCATATGCATAGAGATTTTTCAAGTATAAACTTAGATATGGCACAAGGCCGAAAGTATGGGGGCCCCCATTGAGGATTGAACTCATTACATAAATATGTAATTGTTCTAAGCGAGACAAACTTTGCTAACCATTAAACCGCCTCAAGGTGCCCAACATAAATATATCTACATATTTCCCCGATATACGTACATACACACACACACACACACACATATATATATATATATATATACACACACATACATAAAATACATAAATAAATATATATATATATATATATAAAATCAGGTATATTACTCTTAATAAGAATATATAATGGCTGCAAATAAACTTAAAATGAAATAAGGTAGAATAAAATTCTATTTATAAGATAATTTAAATTTGTTTTTTATGATGACATTTAAATATGATCTCATTCCTTTGATTTTAAATGTTTTCATAAAAACAAAAATGATAAAAAAATTTTTTAGTCAAAATAAATCACAATTTATTACCGTATTTTTGCGATGTGTTTAGCTTTCCTTAATGGATATCATATTGCTCTGTATTCTATACACTGAACTCTCTACACATCTATCTTTTTAATATTTTACATTAAAAAGAACCACTTGGATTATCCTTTCCACTTACAGATTTGATACTATTATCTATCTATACACACACACACACACATATATATATATATATATATATATATATATATATATATATTTATTTTATTTCAAATGTATTTCCAGTGAAGCCTAGAAATTGTCTCAACATTGCTATTAAAAAAAGTGTTATCCTATAAAAGGAAATAATAAAAAAAATAGGTTTTGTATGAATGGAAAAATTGCCAAAGAAAACCTATATCCATTTTGATGTTTTTCACATATTGGCTGCAAAAGCATTCAAATTAGTATGATTAGCTTTCTCAAGATATTATTTTTGAGAAACAGACAACAGGCTGTAATTGATACTGATAAAATTAAGAAATACTTAATCAGATTCTTTGATTCTTGGTTTCTTGTTCTCGTCAGTTTGTATTTTTATGATCAGTTTTTTGATGAGGAGATCTAAGCAATATAACCTTAAACTATAATGTTGATCCTTACATTATTTGCAATACAAACTAAAGTATATAATTTCAAATATGATTTTTGAATGAGCTTTCAATCAGTTTCTGATAATTTATATTCATTATATTACATGCTTTAAATTATAGTAAATAAATTATAGGGAATTTTTTTATTTCAGTTTGATATGAAGATTTATCAAGGACTTACCAGTAATTCTGTTTCAATGCTCCTTCAAATCCCCAAATATATTTTGATAACTACAGGAGAAGTAATTTTTCCATTACTGGATTATCATTTGCCTATTCTCAGGTAATTATTCTCTTTTTTTATAATTATTACATAAAATCATATTATAAGCTAATTATCAAAATTGTTTTTTTATTTGTTTTTCCATTGTACAATTACTTTAATATTTGTCATGGTTTTTGGAGCATGTTTTTTTTCATGTTTTTTTGAAGCATGAGAAATATTTTTTAAATAAAAATTTTTTGCTATCATTCCATCAGCAAATATGCTAATACTTGAGTCTGTAAGATATCATTTATTAATGCCAATTATTCTGAAAATGAGCTTTAGAACATCTTTTTCTTCAAATTTCAATTTTGCTTGAAAGGAAATATATTAAAAAATAAAAAATAGTTTTATGACTGCTGCTAGTGATGTTTAAACAAAAACCTACCTGATAGGTATATGTGATTTACCAGTGGAGGTATAAGACTGTCTCTTTCTGAGTCACTTCATTTTTTAACACCCCATCCACCAACTTTTTTATTCTAAAATTTTTTTCATTAACATTTATTTTATAACCTAACAACTTTTAACATATCAAGAATGGTGTGTATAATACTTTTCACAGATTCTAGAAGGTAACCAAAAAGTCCTTGCCATTTTTGATTTATTAGAAAAGTCATGCAACAAAACTGACATACTCTTAGTTCTCAAAGTAATCCCCATCATTTATCCAGAACCTTTTTTTCAACATGCCTCCAGCTGTGCAATGCCATGGTGGTAAAAATCAGGTATTTTTGGATGCAAAGAAGTCTGTGAGTGCCTGTTGCAAATCTGCCTCATTTATGAAGGATTTCTCATGAAGGTGGTTGTCCAATGGTTGGAAGAGGTGGTAATCTGTTGCCACAAGGTCCATGGAGTAAGGTGGATAGCACAGTGTCTCTCAGCCAAGTTGGCGTATGTTATCCCTGTCCAACCACATAACATGAGGCCTGGCATTGACATGGAGAAACAGTACACCCTTATTTTAACCGATACTGGATCCTTCTTTTTAGTGTCTGTTGTCCATGTTCCAACTGCTGCTAGTACATGTCTGCAGTGATGGTTTGGCCTATTGGTAGCAGCTCATAGTGCACCACTCGTCAACTAGTCAACCAGATACAGAGTATGATCTTGCCTGGATGTAGTGGTGGTCTTGTGATGGAAAATAAGGTCCCATGGTGACCACAAACGTCTGGCACACCTGGACCCATTTTTTTGTTACTGGTGATCAAATATGGGTATGTTGCAGTGCTAAGAAAGCAACAAAAAAACAGGCTGTCACTCATTGTTGCTTGTTGGCTTCTGACAGTATGTGGGGTATCCACTTGCTAAACTTTATGCCTCCCTTTTTAGTGCAAATGAAGTCTGACTGTTTCATCAAAACCTGGAAGCATTTTTTTCACAGCTTCCAGGAAATGTTACAGCTAGTGCAGAATTCATTACAAAGGGCAGATCTCCTGACCTGAACTTCACTCACAGGGTTATTCCCTCTCCAAAAGCTTGATGTATTCAGCGATGATGTGGCTTCTGTATCCCATCTTAAAGCCATAAAACAGACAAATCCAAACGAGCTGCTTGAACATCTATTATTTTCCTTGTCACGGCTCAAGGGATGACTGATGTGTGTGTGTACAACACCTCTTTTATTTTTTGTGTTAAAACAAAGATAAATCTCAATTTTTTATTACTTTATAAATCAATTACTTTTGTTATAAATTGAACGAAATTGCATCATAACTTTTTAATATTATCAACAGTAGCACTTACTTTTGGGGTAGGAATATCTATAAAAAATCAAATAATTGTCAACAATTGATAGACTGAATTAAATTCAGTCTATCAATTGTTGACAGTTGTGTGATTTAGTTTTTAAATCCTTGCTATTTATTCAAAGGCAACAAATAATTTAAATAATTATTATTAAAAATATCTAAGGAAATTAAGGGAAATCTCATTTTGTTAAGTGTTACTTTCTTGGAACATCTTTTTGCATTCTTTATATTCAATTTATTTGTTATGGCTGAAAAATAAAAGTATAAGCTTTTTTTTTTAATTTTTTTCTTTCTTTTTTTTTTTAATTTTTTTTTTTCCACAAATTGCTATTTATCACAGCAAAAAAAAATCTTCATGGATGGAATTAATTAGATGGAATGTTGTAACAAATTCCATAATCTACCTCATTTTTTAAAAACTTTTCATCAAATTAGGAACATTCTTAGAATTATAATCATTATTAAAACACTTTCAAAATACATTTTTATTCTCTATTATTATGGCTGAAACAATAAAATATCAGGATGAAACAGTGTGGTGGAGCAGAGAAATATATCTAGGATTTTGTTATCCTATGCCCCAACACAAATTTTTTTGTTGTTCAAGGGAGGCAAATCGATTGACATTTGTTGCATTCATTTTCTTAGGTATCTCTAGTAATTATTTTGTAGTCTGTGGGAGGTACAAAACTTTAATTCTATAATTAAAATTATATAAAAACACAACAAACGGGCAAGAAAAACAATGATAATAAATAAATCCTCATA